GCTGGGTCGTGGTGATTTTCTGAGGCCGTGGAGTGTCGTGACTCAGTTGTGTTAATGCGGTATTTCCTTGCGTTACCTGTCATGTGGGGGTTCTCTAGGGCAGGATGTTAGCTGGGAAGCGCGGCATTTAACGATTCAACCGGTGAAGGAGCTTCTATTACAATAGAAATGTAATAAAAGAGGATGTGTGTGGAGGCTGAGACTTTGCATGTAGCAGGACAGTAAGAACAGTCTTACAGCATGAGCGTTAAAGGAGCAGGATAGTCAGCAGGTGGTTTCAGATGAAGTGGGTAGGACCAAATGCTTATAGTCAGTCTTTATTAAGTATTCTTGGCTCTTTCTGAATAGCTACGTGATCATTCTCCTTGTTCTCTTCAAATGAGTAGAGATTCTCAATCAAAAATGAACAAACAGTAGTGGTGATTAACACATTGTGGCATTAAATAAGCAAAAGCATAACTCCAGCTGTAGAAGCAACAGATAGCAAGATCACAGAATCACAGACTGGTTTGGGTTGAAAGGGACCTTAAAGATCATCTAGTTCCAATCCCCTGCCATGGGCAGGGGCACCTTCCACTAAACTAGGTTGCTCAAAGCCCTGTCCAGCCTGGCTTTGAACACTGCCAGGGATGGAGCAGCCACAGCTTCTCTGGGCAACTTGTGCCAGTGCCTCATCAGCCTCATAGTGAAGATGTTCCCATATCTATAGCTTGAAAAAGCTCAAGGTGTTTCTTTTGTCTTCTGGTCATCACAAAAGATAGATCTGCCTTCCACAAAACAGATCATGAATCCAGAGAGCTGGAAGTAGCGCGCACCGCTATCATTATCTTTTCAGGACAGAACTGTAGCAATGGAAGTCAAGAAAAGTTCTAGTTAAGCTATGTTAGTACTATAACAAAAGGAAGCAGGGGCTTTGGGAGATCTCCCTTGAATAACAGCGAGAACTGAAAGAAGAAGAAAAAAAAGGGGGAGATATCTATCTCAAACTAATATAGTTAGCAACAGACTGTGGAAAAGGAGAATGAGTGACCTGGAGAATTGAGAGTGGATGGGCATGTGGATGAAGGAGGCAATGGGGCATAAGGGAGAAAATGGCCAGGATGGCAGTTTGTGCCGAACTGGGAGTAAAGTTTTACTGTTAGGTTAAATTAAGCATGTGCAGCCACTCAGGGCAGTGACTCCTGCTTTGGCTGGGAATTGGCTCTACTAAAAAAGTTGTATTAGCAAGCGGGACTAAAGCATTTGTGCAGGTGCCATCATTTCTTCCTCACCTCTTGGTCTGCTTGGGATTTCCCTTTCATTTCCCTTTCTCCTGGTTCTGTGATGATCTTGGGTTATCTGTGAGGTCATGCAGTTGTACTCTGGAGGCATTACAGGGCTTTAAAGGGTAAGATGGTGGAGACCAGAAAGAGAAGTCTGAGAAATGGAAACTGGAACTGGATGAAGAGCAGGAGGCAGGAGTTGAAGTCCAGGTCTTAGTGGAAAAAAAAGAAACAAGTGCCAGAAGTCTCACAGTCCTTTGAGACTTGGCATGGTTTTTATAAAGTTGGGTTTTGTGGGTTTGGTTTGGGTTTTTTTCTTTTGTTTTGGTGTGATCTTTTTAGCTATGCTACTGAACTGGAGTTCAGAGGTTGTACAAGAAAATAAGGTAATTCAAGATTAACTGTCAGTGCTACCTTACTGAAGATTTTTTTTTTTTGCCCCACTCCTCTTTTCTTCCTCAGATACAAGTTAAGAAGAGCTGACTGCTAAAGAGAAAATGGCATCTCTAGAAAAAGGTAGGTGGTTCACATGATATCTGAGCAGACAGGATTAAAAGTACTTTAACTTGAAGTCTTAAGACCAGAGTTAGACTGTATGCCAGGCTCTATTCTTTTAACTAAGTCCTTTAATGTAGCTTTTAGGAAGTAGTTATGTGACTGCGCTATTGCAGTGAAAATCAGTGTTGCCTGGATGTAACAGTGAATTGAATGTAGTTTTCTAATCCAGCTTTGTATTGCCGGTGGTTTGTCACTGGTCTGTTATCTGCAAGTACACTTGTCTGTCAGTCCTTGAGTATTTAGAACTTGTTGGTCCTATTCGGTCAACTTGAAAGTTGGGCAGTATAATGGTGTTAGTACTGCATTTTTGAAATTCATTATTTGGATAGAGGAGGCAGGCTTACATTGCTGCTGGCAGTATGAGGAAAAAAGCAGCATGTGTAGCTAAGAATGTGCTCCAATACCTTTTTGTTTTCTCCCACTGTGAGGTAGCTGTGCAGCAATACTTCATCCAGCTGAAAATTTAGTGAACTTAAATAAAATGAGTATCAGTAAATGTTATCATGCATAGTGGGGGATTCTGAACAGAATGCAGCATTGCTGGGAATACTGGGGTCTGTTGATTAGAAATGAAGCAGAACTGGCTTGTTGGCTTTTCTTAAACCTGCACCTGGACAACTAAAACACACGGTACCTTAACAATCTGCTAAACTTACTAAGGTGTTAGTAGCTATGTAGCTAATGGCTGCTTTTCATTTCTTACTTTTAAAATGAGACTGCTCTGATTTCCTTTCAGCCTATGAGTGATACCGTCAAGCTCCATACTAGCTCTTTTTCATGTCTGCATTTAATCTTGTGTGGCAGCAGGAAATTATGATTATACAGTTCAGATCAATGTTTGTGTCTTGTCCTGTTAGTATCAATGAGCAATACACACTTGAGTTAGGACCTTTCTAACTTGTGCTTCATAATTGCTGCTGCAAAGGAGTCTTTTACGCAGGCAGTGTGCAATTAGAATCTGTAACTTTGTGTTGTGGTTTAAGCCCAGCCAGTAACTCAGAACTTTGAAGTACAGAAATTAAGTGAAGATTTACAGTGAGACTATAAGAAAGTGAAAGGTGGTAAACTTTCCCTCTGCTGTTTCTAAATCTTAGTTGATGATGCCTCATCACCCATTCGAGGACCTGGAGATGGCATGGAAACTGAGCAGGCAGCTGGATCGGTGGAAGTAGTTGCTGGAGCCAACACTATAAGCCATCACAGCCACCACAGTCCACAAAAAAAGACAGTTTCTTCTCTGAGTCCTGGAGTTCTGCAGCTGGGGAAAGTGCCTGTTGATAAATCAGTGGAGATTGAAGCTGTTCGTATATTAGTCCCCAAAGCAGCTATCACCCATGTTGTTCCAACTAAAAATGCTAAGGTGGCTAAATCAGAGGGACATAAAGGAGACACGTTCCATCAGTCAGATGGAGCTGCAGATCCCAAGAAAGAACAGCTAGAACTGAAAAATGCAATTGAAAAGCTAAAGAATTCAGAAAAGCGGTTGTTACAGGATAAAGAAGGTCTCTCTAATCAGCTGCGTGTACAGACAGAGGTAAGAAACAAAAGGTGTTTTCTCTCACACAGCTGAGCTGCTTTGGTTTATATAAATGGTTTGTGAATGTGACCAAAGAGCTGCCTTGAGACAAATAGTTTCCCTCTTGAACTACGAGCTAAGATACAGAGTAGAAGTATATCTAAGTAATCCAGTGCTGCTTCTCTGACAACCCATGAAAGAAAGTCTTGAAGCTGAGAAACGCATTAGATGGCTGCAGGGAAATGGATCCTCTATGAGGAAAGATTTAGCTTCTGAACTCAACTGCTAAGTGAAAAATACGCTGTAAGGAGGGGTGACTATAATTTTCTACACAATATCCATCTGTGGATGTCTTGTCTAATCCTTTGTTACCTTGTTGATTCAGGACTTGACTACTACTGAAACTTTTTGTTTCTTGTAGCAGGCTTTCATTCTTTCTTTCTGGCCTCTGTTAGTATTTAAATAAGAGTGTATTAGACATGCATTAGTCTCAGATGTTTATGCTCACTAGAGTGGATTCTGAGGCTTAATATATCCTGCATTAGATGCATGATATTTGGGAAAGGGAAAGGCAATTTATTGTTAGCAGTTTGCAATAACTTGCATTGCTTTCTGGATGTAGGAAGCGTTTCATTCTATATTGATAATTACAAGGCAGTCTGGTCTAATTCTAGGTGAATCGGGAGCTGAAGAAATTACTAGTTGCTTCTGTTGGGGATGATCTGCAGTACCACTTTGAACGGATGGCTCGTGAGAAAAATCAGCTAATCCTAGAAAATGAAGTCCTGGGCCGGAATATGTCTCAGCTGTCTGAACAACTAGAGCGCATGTCTATCCAATGTGATGTGTGGAGAAGCAAATTCCTAGCAAGCAGGTATTCCTTCTTACAGAGCTGTTACAATGCATTCTCCTTCAGTCTTTTATTGTGTACACCCATCGCAATGCCTGGCAATGTGCTTATGTACGTAGACAACAGCGACGGCAGCTGTACTGACATCTACTATGCAATTTGAGTTTACTGAAAAGGTACAAAGAAAGTAAGCTCCTTGAAAAACAGAACTACTCAGATTTACAAAGGTAGTACAGTAGATCTTAAACCTCCTAAAAACTACAGTTCTTAACATATCAAGAGAAGTTCTTAATTCTGATAGACTATGTGCAGTTTAGGGTTTAAACATTTCTTCCAGGACAGCTGTCTTGACTTGTTCTAAAGGCAGTTAGCTTGATTTTCATCCCCACCCCTGTTGTGGTTTAGACCCAGCTGGTAATTCAGTACCACGCAGCCACTCGCTTACACCCCCCCTTTCCCTGCCAGGTCGGATGGAGAAGAGAATCAAAAGAATGAAACCCCACAGGCTGAGATAAATATGGTATAATGCTGCTAATAATAATGATAAAGGAAATAATAAGGGGAGAGAATATAAAAGGGGAAAAGGAAAAGAAACCAATAAGCTCAAGTGATGCACAATACAATTCCTCACCACCCACCGACCGACACCCAGCCCAACCCGAGCAGCAATCTGGGCCTTCCGGGTAACTCCCCCCAGTTTCTATACTGGGCATGACGTGCTGTGGTATGGAATACCCCTTTGGCCAGTTTGGGTCAGGTGTCCTGTCTCTGCTTCCTCCTGGCTTCTTGCACCTCTCCTCACTGGCAGAGCATGAGACTGAAAAGTCCATGATGGGGGTAAGCACTACTTAGCAACAACTAAAAATGTCGGTGTGTTATCAGCGTTGTTCTCAGACTAAAGTTGAAAACACAGCACTGCACCAGCTACTAAGAAGGAGAAAAATAACTGTTACAGCTGAACCCAGGACAGGGGATCTCTTTGTTAAACCCTTGTTGTGATACTGCTAAAAAACCTGCTATTGCTTCTGTAACCATAAAAGCTAGTCTGAATGCAAAAATGTCATTTGAAAAAGGATGACTTTTAACTTGCCCAGCATAGTTGTCTTACCAGATCTGTAAATAGTGTTCTAGGATTTTTAATCTTCTACCGTACTCGGCTATAACTGACTAAATTTTAATCATGATGCTTAATGCATATTACAAAAGACCTTACTGCTTGAAGGAAATGGTAATACAATATAGTCTCTTCCCTTTAATTTGCTAGTCTTAAGAAGTTTCAGCATATTGAGTGAATGGTAAATACTTGTGACTGTCCTGGCTAGGCAACTTAACTTGTTTCTTTAGCACTGATAGGAGTTCTGAGATCAGGAGTGTAAAGTTCCTGGTGATGTGCTTGGAGTAACACCCTCCAATACTGTAACGTTACAGTTTGTTGCGATCTCAGATTTCTAACTGGCTATGGTTTAAATGTCATTGGTTTTTGCATTTGCAGTATCAGTAGGCATTTGAAATACCTGCTTGAGGGGTCAGTACTGAGGCTCATGGCATAGCAAAATGTGTCAACAGTTGTCTCATTTGTAGCTCTTAAACGCTTGTGTCTGGCACAAGAGAAGGCTGCGTGAAGACCTCAGAGCAGCCTTCCGGTATCTGAAGGGAGCCTACAAGGATGCTGGAGAGGGACTCTTCATCAGGGACTGTAGTGGTAGGACATGGGGTAACGGCTTCAAACTTAAGCAGGGGAAGTTTAGGTTAGATGTAAGGAAGAAGTTCTTTACTGTGAGGGTGGTGAGGCACTGGAATGGGTTGCTCAAAGAAGTTGTGAATGCTTCATGCCTGGCAGCGTTCAAGGCCAGGTTGGATGGAGTCTTGAGAGACATGGTTTAGTACAAGGTGTCCCTGCTCATGGTGGGGGGGGGTTGGAACTAGATGATCTTAAGGTCCTTTCCAACCCTAACTATTCTATGATTCTATGTAATGTCTAGTTATTGCCCCTGAGAAAGGCAAAGAGGTGAATGAATACAGTCTTTAGCCATACATGTCATCTTCAGAGAGAAGTACGGAAAGATGAGATTACAGCATACTTGTGAGAACTGTGTTAATAAAACAAAATGTATTTACATTTTTAAATATAACTGTTCACTTACCCAAGGTATTTTGAAATGTCTGTTACTAGATTTATATTAAGTGACATAGAATTGTTTAAACTCAGCAAATCAAAATATAATCTTGCACTTGTGTTGACTGTGGCTGAACATAAATTAATCTTAATACGTGTTCTTTGTAATTAGGTTGATAGAGGCTCTGTGTGGGAAAGTGAGAACAGCAGCTTATTCCTTAGCTTGAGCTAACAAATTGCAGTCTGTAGTAGAATAAAGGTGAATTTCAAACTGCTCACTTACACTACTGATTGGAGATTTGTTTTGCAGGGTTATGGCTGATGAGCTAACCAATACCAGAGCAATTCTTCAGCGTCAAACCAGGGATGCACAAAGTGCAATCCAGGACTTGCTGAATGAACGTGATCAGTTCCGTCAAGAGATGATTGATACACAGAAGTATGATTTTCCTAATCCAGAGTACCTCTATGCAAACTTCATTTCTGTCAGTTCATTATAGACCAGAGAAGACTCACCATTTTCCACTGTTTTAGTGATACTCAACAAAAATTAATTACACTGATTGAGAGTACTGTCACTTTTCAGCCTCAGAGCTGAAAGAGCCAATGTAGCATTCATTCTTTCTTCATTGCCTGGAGGTGTGAGGTCTTAGGGGTAATATACTCTAGAGCTGACATCCTTTATGTCCTCAGGATTTCTCTAGTTAATCACTTACTGTTATTTAATCCTAGTTAATCACTTGCCTTCAAGTCTTCTCTGTCTCCTTCTAAAACATACAGGTTCTTCTACCCATGTGGACTTTTTTCGTGCTTATCCTGCTAGTTGTCAAGTTTTACTTATATTAAAATACTGTGTTGGTGAGGCCTTGCCTTGGAGAATAGTCTAGTTTTTAAACAATTTTTTTTCCATGTTTCAGTTAACATTTAGCTTGTGCAGTAAGTCTTGGGAAGGGACGATTCCACTGTATGCTGTTGCTCATAATATAGAGCTCATAATATAAATCCCACTAATAGTGCTTTCTTCCTTTCTGCACAGGCTGCTGGAGGAACTGATGGTTTCTCTTCAGTGGGGGAGACAACAGACATACTATCCTAGTGCCCAGCCTTACACTACAACAGAGCTAGCGGCTGTGAATTGTAAACTAGCCAAAGCTGTAAGCTCGCATCTTCTTGGAAATGTTGGCACTAACAGCCCAAAAAAGACTTCAACAGCTGTGGAGTTCTGCAGTACCCCTGCTGAGAAAATGGCTGAAATGGTAAGCATTCTTCATACATCTCAGTCTGCCAACACAGAGTCTTCTTTCCAGAAGGAAACATCTTGCATTGTGTTAACTACTTAGTATCTTGTCCTTTTTAAAAACTACACACAGAGGAAATGTACTGAATAGAGATGTTTCCCTAAAAAAAAAAACCAAACCAAACCAAGCCAAAAAAAAAACCAAACCCAAAAAAAACCCCCACACCAAAACCAACCGAACAAACCTGGAACGATAAGCAGAACAACATAAATAATACAATGACACATACTGTTTCCTTCTCTGTTCCTAGCACTAAAAATGAGTGGGTCAGAATTAGTTTAGAGTCAGTGTGCCAGGAGGAAGCCAGTCAAAAATACTTAGCTGAGTTTAAAAACTGAGTGGGAGAAGAAATTCAGGCAGGAGTAAGTCATAACACTTCAGCAGTAGTTTGTTGCCCTACAGATCAGTTCTGTTGAGAGTGGGTGGAAACACAGAAAGAAGCTATGTGATTATCTTTCAAGATAAGGTTCTATTGCAGGAAGCTTGATGTTTAAATAGGAAACTAAACGAAGAGTTTACTCTGGAAGCAATTGAGTAATGGTTGAGCAGCAGGAGGCTCACAGTGCCGAGTGATCTGTGCTGTTCTTGCCTAGTTTTGCTCAGCTCTGCTGAAAGAAATCGGAATTATTTTTATTCTCACTAAAATCATAGCTTGGATTTCTGATGAACATTACTAATTTATAAACACTACTTAATGTCTTTATATTGAGGGTCTGGAAAGATGGATATTTAGTTTTCAACTTGGAAAAAATTGAAAAACTGCTCTTGAGCAGAAACCTTCCCTAGCTGGTAGAGAGGGATAAAACCCATTGAACTTCATAGATATATTTTCAGTCTCAATTTTTCCATCCTTAGGTGCTACGGGTACTGGATCCAGCTGCACGTGCAGAAACATCAACAGAAGTTTCTTTTTCTGAGACTTCTCCATCCTCCTTTCTTTCTACAAAGAAGAGTATTGGAAGGTTTCACCCTTACACAAGATACGAAGATGTAACTTTCAATTGTTGCAATCACTGTCAAGGAGAGCTGATAGTCCTTTAAAAACATAGCCAATGCAATGCACATGCACTCTTCTGAAGAATTACACTAGTTGATGTTAAGCAGACTTCCCTTTTTCCTACTTTTTTCCATAATTGGTGGGTTTAACATTGGAAATTACATAGTTTCCTACTTCTTGAAGTTAGGGACTGACAGTATTTCCTTAGCCTCTGGGATACCACCACTACTTTTGTCTGGAAAGCTTCACTTCTTCTACAAAGGCAAGACCAAAAATGTTATGCTGGCCCAATTGGTAGAGCATAGAGATGTCCTTGACCATTTAAGGTTTATAGTGTTATTAGCAAATCTCAATGAATTTCTATTTAGAGGGAGACAAAAGCCTAACTATACCAAGGTAAATGAAGTGCTGATGGATTATGTTAAAGGAGAAAAAAAAAGGTGCAATGGAAAACAGCTCCATGCATTTTTTTTCTTTTTTAATCTTAGCCAAGGTGATGAACTGTCCCCAAGTCTGTGTTCAGCCTTTAAAATTTAGAAATCAAAAGGAATATGTGCAATGAATCTTCATAGCTCTAAGTTCTGAAAGTAAGAGCATATGCAATGTTACAGCCCTGGCAAGAAGGGGAAAGAACTTGAATGAACTCTTAGCTGTAATAGAGAAAGAGTAACTGTTTTTAAATGGATTCTGGAAACCTGTGTGGGGTGAGGTTATTTTTGTGTTTCCATAAAGCTAAAATAATGGTTTTCCATCTATTTCAGCTTCTAGAGCGAAGCTGTCACATAGCTGATCCTCAGCAAAGACAGAGTGATATACCTCCTTTAGTACACAGTGTAGAAACCTGACCTAGCATTAGAACTCAGTTCTTGCCCAGTGTCTTCATGAGCTTGCTGGGGAGTTGGAAGATAAGCACTAAGTTTGCACAGGCACTGGTAAAAAAATGTATTTTTTTTTTACATACATGGTTTTATAATCTTGATGTAGGTTTTAAGAGAAGTTTCAGCAGATGATCTGCTAAATCTAAGGAAGCCTTTTTAAGTTGTGGATGTAAAGAGGAAAGGGAGGAGGATTGCAAATATGCATTTTAATTTCTTAGTTTCATTCCGAAATCTATCTCATGTAGCTGTCTAGTTTAGGGACAGGGTTTCTGAAATGGTAGTTACACACAGTTTTTCTTTGAATCTCATACCATTATCAGAATATGTAAGTTAAGTTCTTGCTGTTGCTGTCCTTGCTTTGGTTTGCATGAAGAAAAGTACAATAAATTTTCTTTGCTTTCAAGTTTCAATCTTTGATTTAATTTAGCTGTATTTCTGACCTTGTTTTCTCTGCAGCATAAAAAGAACTATATGACCTTGAACTGTAAAACCGTTAATTCTACTGGTCTAAGGTAGTGAACCAAGAAACACTTATTTTGTAGTTTACTACAGTTAGGGAGACAGCATGAACCTTTGAAGACTTTACCTCTGCATTTACTTGCCAGACACAAGAAGCATTTCTTGTCCTTGGTGTCAGGGGAAGGTACAGGAAGGAGGAAGGCACCTGTTACTTGCCTTTCTTAGTAGCATGTCAAATTTTCATTTCACAACCATGTCCTTTACCTGTGCTAGCAAAAGTCGCAACATACTGCCCTCTGGTCAAACGCCAATACTCTCTCAGTATGCCTGCAACTATCTCGTCTCCAGAACGCTAAGAGAAAAATACTCATGGCAAATTTGCTTTGCCATCTACTACGCTACTGCCTGTTACAAAACTTCCAGAAAAACTTTAAATGTGGAAAAGTGGAAGAACAATGACATTAACTTCATGATTTCATGAGTGACCTCACCACTCTGAGCAGAGTTCACAACTGACCTGGGTAAGGTGGTGTAATTTATTATAATTTATTTAGCAAACATGGACACGTGTACAAAGAATCCTGCTTCCTTGATACTGGCAAAGGTCATAATTCACACAACCACTTAATTTAATGAGAGAGATAGAAAACTACCAACTATGACTCAGAAATAAGTTTCAAAAGACTGCTGCACAGTCACAGATGCGTTAGCCTTCAATGGCCACTTTCCCTAAACTAAAATAAAACAGTCCTCCAGTCTAGCCAGAATTAACTGGTCAACAGCTCAATAGAAAGTGGTACAAGAAGCAGCATTTTCCAACAACATAACACTTTGTATAGTCTTCATCACAAGCAGCAGCAAACAGCAATATTAACCCAGCAAAAAGTCAACATTTTACATTAATAGCCTGCATCCAGGAATTCATGGTGGAGTTGGGTATAAAGTGCCTTTTAATGACAGGAATGTGTATTTGCCACCCTCATATGTAGATCTCGTACTCATTAAGACTTGGTCAAACCAGTAAAATCCCTGAGTTATATATAAAAGCAGGCTTTTTCAACAAAATTACAAATAAATAGGTAGTCAAATTATTGTCAGTGAAGGTAATTGTTAAACTTGCTTGAAAGCTTTAAACACACCACAAAAAGTAGCTGTGAAGAGCAAGAACTCAAGCCATAAAAAGTAAAAGATTGCCACCAAGAACTGTGCTTACATCAAACTTTCAACTGTAATGATTTGTGAAACGAAAGGATTTTGGCTCTGAATTAATACAGTGGATGTTCTGCAGCTGTTTTGCTCTTCTGGCTTCTAGTCTAAGCTGCCTCACTCTCTCTTTAGCAGCTAGTTCTTCTGCTCGTTTTTCTTCTCTCTTTCTTTTTAGCCATCTGGGGAGAGAGAAAGAGGGCTAGAAATACCGACAGTTGCAACTGAAAGTTTTATGTCATCCATTCAAAGGACACTTGCCTCCACTTAACTAGAGTCTCCTTGTCCTGTAGGATAAATACAGGTGTCATGGCTGAGCCAGTCTAAAAATACCACTTCCCCATCCCAATTCTCCAGCTTGTGCACCCACCTTTACCTCCCCCCTGTTGTTGAGCTGATTCAACTCATGAACTTGAGAGGGGAAAAACAAACATTATATTGGATTATCTTTCTGCTTGTTTAATGAGCTGGTTCAATCTGAGCCTGATGGGCACGGGAGAAGTATCTCCCTTTTTCAGCAGAAGTAATTCACTATTTCAGCTTAAGTTCTGACAAGTAATTTCACAACACTGAACAACATATCAAGGAATTGATGCATTTTTGCTGGGGTTTAAGTTTATGAGGACATACCCATAAAAAAAGCCCCAAACCAAAACAATAAGGACTTCAGAGGTAAAGATATACTGTAAAATAACTACGTTCTTAGGCTGACAGACTACAAAACTTACTATTCCCTAGGAATGACCCTACTCACTCTTTAAAGGCTCTGTTGCATTCCTCTGTTCTTGGAAAAAAGGCAATTCCCTCAGCTTGGCGCCTCAACATTTCTAACTGTTTTTCTTTCATGTGTTCTTGATGCTTTTTTTTAAGCCATAACTTGAAGGCTTCTTCTGGATTCCTGTTCTTCTCCTATTTAAAAAAAAAAAAAAAAAAAAAAAGACATACACACAGGCTTATCATTAAATGACTTTTATATTATAATCACATTATAACAATTTTTTGAACTCTGCTGGTATCTGCCATCCACAAAATATACTTTAGAAGCAAACTAAATCATATGCTAATGGCATGGAACATACACATGAGCAAGCATTCACAGCTGTATGTTTTATAAAAATACTGCATTTAGCTTTTCAAGCCCATCACAACAAGGCAGAGGAACTTAAGAACACAGCATCTTCAGGTTTTGGTCAAGTCATCTGCATTAATTGCTTGCCAACAAGGTAAGAAATGCACTTCAAAGGGTTTTCTGGCTGCTTGTTCACTGCAGGGTTCAATCAAGTCGTTCTCCCAATAAAAAGGAGCATCTGTCTCCTGTGATTTTATAGCTATGAAATTCATATATGCAGCTTCTATGATGCAAGCCACTCTGCCAAGCAGAACAACCGTAAACATGCAAGTCAATCTAGCTCTTCACCAAGATCAATGTAATAAAAACATTTCCTATCACTGTATATTTTCATATACTTAGCTAAGAACACAGGCTTAGAATCTTATTTAACAAGAGCACTACAGATCCCAGTTCTACTTTAGGGAGATCTTACTCTGCTGTTCAAGTCTTCTAGCTCCTTTGCACGACGAATTCGCTTTTCTTCTTGGACTTGTTCTTTCTTCTTCTGTAACCAAGCTTTAAAAACCATCTCATTATCTCTTCTCTTCTGTTCTTCTTGTTCCCTTTTCTTTTCTTCTTCCTTAAATGGAATGAAGAGTGAATATACTTAGTTTTTAAGAGAATCAATCTCCAAAGGCCTTCATAATAAATAAGCCATTTGAATTACATGAGAGACACAAAAGTACTGATGAAACAGGAATCATCAAAGACTGTATCATAATTGATACTACTTCTAGGAATAAAAGAGTTTGAGCACTTCTGTGGTTCATGTTGCACTCAGATACTGTCAGTCTAACACTTTTTGTGATTACCTCCATTTCCAGGACACATCTCAACTCACAGACATCTCTCAATAGCAACGGGTGAAGATTTTTAAAATTAAGCCTGCCCAATAGCTCTGACTGGCTTAAAATCAATTTCAGCTGATGCATTTTGAAAATGAATGCAGCTCTCGGGCTTGATGGGTGGGTGCAGTAAACCCTAAAGGATATTTAATTACCTATGGACTACAGACTACTACCTTACAAATATGGGTTTTTTTCTGGACATGACATTGTAATGTATTTACTTAAGAAGTATTAATAGCTTAGCACTTTTTTCAAGTTTACAAAATGTACTGATTTTTACAAAACTGAGAAAAGTTGGGTTTGTTTTTTTTTTATTATTAATCCCATTTTAGCCAATTACAAGTATCTACAAGGAGGATAAAGGTTTTCGAACAACACTTCAGAAAGTTGGGTAGGACATTTTATCAGGTTTTAACTCTCTCTGATACAGAAGCTACAATCCCCACTCATTTCAACACTCATAGAAACCTGTTCTTCTTGCAAATAGTTGATATTCCTCCCACCTACACACAACTTTCACACTAGCCTTCAAACTTGTAATTTGAAATTTACTGAAATGAAAGAAATTCCACCAAAATGAAGCAGATGGATTTCATTAATGTCAAGAAATAATTCATGTCCATGAAATCCATCACTGAATGGAAGAACTCCATTCAAGAATGAAGAAACAAGGTAATACACTCTTACCTTTTCATAAATCAGCCAACAAAGGAAGAGATTTAGCATACACTGTTAGGAAAATAGCCTTCGTTACCTCTACGACACTACCTTTTACTTTAAATACGCAGAGTATGGTGTCAAGAGATCCAGTCTCGTGGTACAAAGAAAACCAATCAGTAACTCTTCCCATTTCATACTTTTCATAATGCAAAGTGAAGAAAAACATCTAAGATTTTAAAATCTTTGGTAAAGATTTCTGAGGTTCCTGTTACAGCTGTCAAAGGCTGACTCTATTAAATATGTTTTTCTGAATAAGGAGCTGAGAAAGATCTAAAAAGGCAAGTTTTTTTCCCAGTAATACATAAGACACTGATTTTATTTTCTAAAATATTTTTTTTCTTTTAAGTTACTGCCCTTAATAGATACAAGAAGAATAACCTCACTACTGGCAATATTTTCTTCTTTTTGTCCTCTCTGTAGTGCCCAGATAAACCAAACAAGAAGGAAAAGTAGTATCAATTAACAGAGAAAGGGGAAAAAACCTACTTTGCAACAAACTCATTGGGAAAAACTTAATACAGCGCTCACCCATGCAAAGCCGTTACAGGAAGAAAAGTATCCAATTATATTATCAGTCAACGTGACTTCACCTGCATGCATCCCATGCAAGCATAAGGCATGCCACTTTTAAAGTCAGCTGTATCTTCCATAAATGTTAAACACACTGCTCTTTGTTCATAGTTCTCACAGTCATTCTCCTGTGATGATCTCATTTTATGACTGAACACGCTCCCAAATGATAATTGCCTATTACATACTTCATGAGCACCCAAATGTGCACCTGCATTACTGTGGTTAATGTTAACTTCCTGCATTGCAGTGTAATCTGTGGAGATGTGATACCATGGGATATGTCCCAGTAAATAGCAGGCCTGGAATGGAATCTAGGTAGAAAGAGAGTCAATAAGCAAAATCAGTAAGCACAATATAGCAGAAGGCGGCCTATTTATGAAGGATATAGTAAATAAATATTTAATTTCTTCATTTTTTTTGTGAGCAAGACATGACCTTATGCCACTCTGTGGGGCTTTTCTTTTTATCAAGTAAAGACTTCTGAGAGATTTTTTACAAACTCCAGAGAATAGTAACAATAACAGCAACAATAATAACAGTAATAATCTTGTAACTATTATTGTTGTTGCCTCTTTTATAATGGAAAAATGGAGTAAATGCCCTGAACATGTGGTCTCTGTGAAGCAGGGGAACAGGATGGTCATTATGATCTATTTGTTGCCTCTGTATCTTTACCTCTTTCTTCAGTTTTTCCTTCCTTTGTTCTAACTGTTTCCGCAATTCTTTTTGTCTTGGAGAAAGACAGTAAGTGGAGCTTCTCACAGGCGTGTTTGCAGACTGCACCCTCTGCGGAGTCTTCCGTTTTCCCAGACCTCTTGCAGCGCTGATAGCAGAACTTGGACGATGCTTTGGGTAAGATGGAGGCTTTGGGAAAAATACACAGTCATCTCCACCAGGAGAAAAAGAATGTGCTCCTGGTCTTACTGGAGGTACTTTTTTCATTTGAGAGGCAGCACCCGGAGGACTACAGGGTGAAGATTTTGAAGACAGGTGTTGAGTTTCAATATCAGTAAAAGAAACACTTATTGGGGGCAAAATGCCCTGGCTTTCAATATCATGTAAACTTAAGAGTTCAAACTTCCCACCTTTTTCCACTAGGATTTTCCCATCCTTCTTTTCATCGTCCTTGTCAGCATGTGGTGAAAGTGATGTGCTTTCCTGTCCCATTTCATTAGAAATACACAACTGAGATAGCCTATTTGAAACATCATCTCCTCTTGCAAAGTCAGTTTTACAAACTTCAGCATCTTCTAGAGGAGGAACTTCAAGATCCACCAACTTATCCTTAAATTTTAACTTCCGTTCTCTGTTCTGATCCACAGGAGCCTGATTCTCCAGCAGTTTGTTGGCTTGTTCAATCTTTTCCAAAATGTAACGCTTTAGTTCTTCATCCTCTTCCTCACACAGTTCCTGCTGGTTTTCCAGCTTGGATTCCTGGATAGAGCTTTCACTATCAGTATCAGATACACGATCCCCCTGTTTAACATCAGATCTGGATTCCAAACTTTCTTCATTGGAGGGTCTCACTTTCACATTTACGTCTGCCTCTGAAAGCTGATCTGGATTTTCTTCCATTTCCTCATTGTCGTCCTCAAAGCTATCCACACCTTTAACAATCTGTGTTTCAGTATCCTCTTCGTTTTTTTCAGGATTCTAAAACAAAAACCAAACAACTATTCTCCCAACAAAGAACAGTACCAGAGAAAGACAAAAGAAATAGAGAGAGAGAAGAGCAGTACTAATTACCCTAACTCTAAAACAGGCTGTCAAATAGTGCATGTCATAACGAATAGCTTCTCTGGCATTAACAACTCTCTCGCAGTTCCTCCATGCACAAAGTTTAACTAAGCATGGCTTGCACAGTGATCAGTGACACCACAAAAACAGAATGTGTGCTGCACAAACACTAAAAGGAACCCGAAAGTATTTTTTAAATAAGCATATTCTTTTCAAGGAATACTGAATTTTCTGGTTCAAAGCAATTATTACCAAACCAACCAGTTCACTGAATTGGTTTTCACTATAATCCATATAACTTTCTCTGTCAAAATTCAGTGAATGCACCTACACATTTCAAACCATATTCAATTTTGAGCTTACTGTCTCAAATATTACTCAATTTTGTATTCTAAATAACTAACACATAATTATGCATTTAACAAATACCTCTCTTTCATCGAGGTTTTCTTCTTCTTCGTCTTCTTCATCTTCTCCTTCTTCTTCTTTTTCCTCTTCTTCATTATTTAGCCATTCAAGGTCTTTTTCAAAATCATCCTCATATTCTACACCTCCTGTTAAATCACCCATGTCTGCTGGATCTCCTCGGTCTTCATTTTCGCTCATTTTGGTGATGTGTTAAGAGTAATGCTACAAAAAGGAGAGGGGGAAAGAATTGTTTTAAAACTCTAGTGACACACAAATATAGGACATCAATATCTCTCATGGCACCCACATCAAACTTGTGAGCAGTATCAATACAACCATGACAGACAGTGCCACAGCACCTCAGGACTAACGATCACCAATGGTTTATAAACATGAATGGTTTTGGCCTTTCCAGCTCCAACTACTAGGGGAAGATTTGAGTCAAAGCAAACCAAGGTGATTTAACTTGATGCCTTGCAGTAAGTTTCTGAGAGTTAAAACTAGAACTCATGATCTCTTAACTGTTAGTCTTGTGCTTGGACAAAGAGACTGCTATTTTATGTTTGTTAAAAGTACTACAAGCTTTCATTCCTCCCAGGTATGTTTTATATCATTCCTTTCCTAATTTGTTTATTAGTGTTTACAAAAGCAACACAAAAGAAGGAAACATTGATTATTCAAAATTTCCTATTCTCTTTGTACTCTCTGCTGCAGGCTGGAAGGTGTCACTTCTAAGTGTCTCTAGTAGAACAAATCTGTGTCATGTACAACATACTAAAAGACCGTGTTATATGCATTAGCATATGGCAACACAATATAAGATGTTTGAGTTAGCTCTGACCCTGGATTGAAACAGCAAGGCAGCTCTAGCTGTGTTACCGTCCTGCACTTCCAGACAAGCCCTGGACTTCTCAACCTGCCTAAGATTTTGTAATATATTTTGTGAAAATCCTTCCATCCAGATGATGTTGCTTAAATTTCTTCCAGCTTTTAAGTTCTGATGAGCATCTCCCAAGTTCTCATTTATTCACAGGAACACCAGCTCTACTTCTTAAAACTTTCATGCTTGACAAGAGTGCTGCTCTTTTGGACCTCAAACTTTAGCCAAGATTTGTTTAAAAGGGAAAAAATGGCAATTAAGCTGGGCGCTTCTGTTGCAAACTTTGTATAGAAACTTTACAAAATTCTTCTCTTTTTTTGATCCATATTTTGTTCAAGAAAATCTGGCAAATTTTTCTCCTAATTCCCTTCTTTTTAGCCACCTCTTGGCATGACCATCATTCAATCATTCACACTAGATTTCTCTGAGTTTAAATTTTCAAAGCTTGTTCAAACATGTAATGTTTTTTGCTTGGAAATGCCCCTTCCTTCACAAACATCCTTGGCTTGGGTGGACATGTACCTGGGGTCTCAATGGACGTTACTTTGCTCTTGAACATACTCAGCACAAAAGAACCACTTCTTTTTAACTATGTCATTATGGCAAGCAGACACAAAAGCTACAAAGCTGTGCCTTTAACAAAACACAGTCACTTCAGTCAGTGACAACACAAATACTGAAAACTGTTCAATATATTTAGGATATGTAAAATAAAGGGGAACAGCATAAAAATCAGCCTTCTTTTTTGTAACATAAACTAGTCATGGCTGAAGAGACAATTTCAGTTTAATGACCTTGTTTCAGAAAATTCTGAATCAGCTCCTATTCTGTTTGGGGTCTGATGAAGTAAGGATTAAAGGGCTTCAGCTTTAATAGGTACCAAAAGTTTCAGAAAATCTCAAGTCTTCATTTTCACCTGTTTCTATTCTAACTGGGAATGTGGGGGGTGTGTGTCTGAAGCGTTCTGCAAAGCTCAGTAACACCTCTACGTGCCTAGGCACAGTTACAACAACAAGGGGGATACGGTGATGGAGTTCTGTTATTTCGCCCCTTTGTACAAAAATACACGTTTATACAGACGCATAAACCCGAACCCAACTCCGTTTTGCTGGGGAAAGGCCAGAAGCACCCGGCTCCGCGTTTCAGAGCGGGTGCTTTCTGCTTCTGCGACCGACAGCCTTCGGCAGCGCCTCACCG